TCATTTGACGCACAGATTTACACTCGAACCAAAACATTTTTCAATGTTTTTTTCCCCCATTTTCGGTTATTTCTGTCCATGATTGGATAGAACTACAAGTACTCCAAGATTTTTTTGACTTCATTAAAAAATAAAATCGTTTTTGTAGGATGGAAACTTTTTGAGGTCAAAACCCCCCACCCCCAAACTAAAGGAAATAAGTTTTTTATCCGACATCGATCTTTTGACGTCGTTCCTTAACTAACCAAACATCTCAAACTGAACCAAGCACAACATTTTTTTTGTGGTCCCAATGTATGATTTGGTGATTGAATCATCAATGAATGGAAGATGCAATGAAAGACATGTTTGAAAGGAATCCTGAGCTTGGTTTGCCATGTGAATCTTGTTTTATATAGCTGCGCTCTATGGGATTTGAGAAGTTTGGTAAACTCTTGATGGACCTCCTGATAAAATAACCCTTTCCTCAAAAAGAGTTCAATACAAACGCGTATTGTCAATTTGTTGCAAGTAACATATGAGACATGGTATTGATACAAATACGCTGTTAGAGGTAAGATTACCGGTATAATGTTTTGCTCCCGAGATTTTTTTTTTAATTTTCCTTTCGAAATTACTGCACAGTACATTCTCCCGACTAATGAACGGATCTCATGGCCATGTTTTAATTCATATGGACATAATTCATTTTCTCCACGTACTTTAATACTTATACATGTATAATTATCCAGGAAAATGGTCAAGTAACTTGTAGTAGTAAGAACTATCAATATATTACAGGAAGTTTGTTTGGAATTACCTTGTTTGTATTCGTTGCGTGCACTGTAAATCTTGATACTACGCTACGATGGTCGAATTCACCTGATGCAACTCTGCTATAGTAAACGTAAAAATAACCATTTGTTGAGAATTTGGGATGAAAGGCTAGACTAAGCAGTCCTCGTTCGTCCCCAGGTGTATCAGTCGTGAACACCTTCTCTTGAAGATCAATAAACGGTTCGTCACGCAGTTCGCCGCCCTTTTCCATGATTCGTATAACACCGATGTGTTCAACTATGAACAAACGATCGCTTTTATCCCCTGCATGAACTAATGCTAGGGGGTTACGCAGACCGCCGGCCAGTTCTTTCAGACAAACGCCGTCCAGTTCGCCTGTAGGTTTTTCCGACTCGATGATAGGGTAACAACTACCGTCACTGTCGTCTGCTCGTTCATCACCGATTGTGTTTGCTCCGACTTCAAAGTGTCTGGCAATTTCGGGACAAGCGTTGGTGATATCAGTAACAAGTTCATCGCATAACTTGGGGTGCTCTGCAAATTTGATCTCTCCATTAACGACTTCGTTGAAAAACATACCAAAACTGTACGGAGAGCATTGCAGGCAGGTTAAATTCTTTAAATAGTCGTAACAATACGGAAGTAAATTCGAGTCCACACTTTCGAGTTTCGTCCACTCAGATTCAACGTATATTCGGACTGCTTCGTCTTGTTCGTGTGTACAGCAGCCGAAGTCTGCATAGGCTTCACAAAATTGTATTTCGCCTGCAGGTGAGAAAGGTGCTTCTGAATCACGGCACTTCGGTTGAATAATTTCAGAAGTAAGGATCCCGAACTGGCAGGCGAAAACAATAAATAACGATAAATAACCCGTGAAACACTGGAATTGCATTTTGCTGAAGTTGGTATTATGTCTGCGTGTAGTCAGGTACGGCACTATACTGGTATACTGGTACAACACTGCTGTTGTTGTCTTTTTATACACATGCGGAAATTGTACCCTTACACTTTTAGACCGTAATTATTTTTGGAATAATAGGATTTATCCATGAAATATGAGCCCTCCCAAAGAATATTCTAATATTAGATAGGGGTGAGGGTATATTAGATAGGGGTGAGGGTATTCCGCCTGAATGCAATAAATAACCGTTCAATCATATTCTAAATATTCCGAAATAAATTAAGGAATAAAATATTAAATTTAATCTTGTGAATCAAATAAAAATTAATAGCGCGCGTTATCACCCGATACATACGAGTTAAAGAAATCGTCTTACCTAACATTTAATCGACAGCTTCTTGCATTCAACCAATTGGAAGCACGAATAGAGCGCCCGCTGTAACGTCAACTATACAACGCTTCTGATTCGCCAACGCTCAGAATCTGCGAAACTCAAAATGGCGAGTGCTACGTTTACCGATGTTGTTCCAAGAAAAAATCATGAAAGCAATAGCGGTAAGTGACTTTATAGCCTTTGATTGGGAATTGAAATGCTCTTTTATTGAACCAAAATCAGAGCATTACTGTAGGAACTTTGTGGGACACCGCGAGTAGAGATCATGCATCTCAAACTGTATTGGTGAACTCTGACCTTCGTAGATTGAACACAATTATTTATGCAGACCTATTCAAAGTTTCCAGGCTATAATTTCTATTATTTTAAGCAAGAATAAGGCGTTCTATAGACGTCCATGTATTAACTGTTAAAAGCAACCAACCACACTGAATATATCGCCAGGCCCTTTAACAGTGTTAACGTTGTAGGGCTATTTTACACTAAGTTAAAGCCATGCAATGACTCCAGTACCCAAAGTGACTTCTCATTACATTGTACTTTTTAAAATCAAATACTACTATCACTAGAATCTTCTTGTAATCATCATCAGAGAAATTCCAAACCAAACATTACTGGTACTTTGCAACATTGTGTCAGGTAGCCATTTTAAAACTGATAGTTTTTACTAAAATCTTGGTCATGAATCTAAGGCTTGTTTATGGCACAGTCCCTCTCTTCATTCACAATAGGTGATATTTTGTACAACTGTGAGATCTTGCGAGTTGCGTGAAAGATGCTTGCCGAATGTTTGCCATGAAAATAAAACGATTTGATTTTGAAAAGCCGATCCTTGATTGGGGAATATTGCATTTGAATAGCCTTACTACTGTAAAATGACTAATATTCACTGGGTTTAAATTTCACTGATTTATCATTTCAGGCATATTCAGTGGGTTTTAAATTCACGGTTTCATCATTTAGATAATGTGTTCTATGCTAAATTTTACATATTCACTGTGTTTTAATTTAGCGCGTTTTTCCAGTCAGCGAAATAAGCTAAATTAAAACCCAGTGAATAATTAACCCCTTTACAGTAATTGAAATTGTTGAATCCCATGTGATGTTTACAAATGCTATGACCTTTGTCCTGTTTTTACGCTCGATTTCACACATAACGCAGGATTTCGCAGTGAATGAAAAATGGTCTATTGAACTCATTTTGACTACAAAAAATTATGTCTCTCTCTCTACCAATGTTTTCATGTATCAAAACATGTCATCTACAGAAAAATTAAATAACACTAAGTGTGTTCCTAGTAACTGTTTTGACCCGCATGCTGTACAAATTCTCACTAACATGTCAGTCTATACACTTACTGTACATCTTCATGTATTATGAATACTTCATTTGTAGAATGCTTTTGTATAACAGTATGGACTGAAATCAGCCTAGCACTATTGTGTTGAAAACATTTACAAGATTACTGTAAAATCTGTATTAGAAACCGCGGCTTCTATTAAAATGGTACAATGCAATAGAGGGGATGAGGCTTCTATTAGAGCATCTACACATATGAGAAATGACGAATTTTTGGTTCTCAATTATTCAAAAAGAATGGGTGCGACTTCTATTAGGGATGCGGCTTCTAATACAGATTTTACGGTAGTTAAAATTAAAATACCTACAGGTACATGTACTAGTACTCACTTTTTGTTTTTGTTATTTCTAAAAACAATTTAAACCTAAATTAGCCCAGCAATATCGTGTTGACAACAATTACATTAAATAAAATATGACATACATGGTACCCTCTTTTTGTTTTCATTGTTTCTAGAATTGCATTGTTTAATTTATTTGATCTTTGAGAAAATTGGCAGAGAAACATACTGGTACTGTGTTACAGTACTTTCGAGAGTTGCATCTATAAAGTGAAGTTGTTTTAATAAACATTAATTTAATTTACAGAGGAGGAGGAAGATATTATGAGAGTGAAATTGCGAAAATGGCTGGAAGAGAAAAAAAATCGGTAAAAACTGCAAGGTTACTTACGAATCTCAACACTTAACACAGATTTTGATTGAATCCTTCAAACACCAATGTTCACTTTTGTCACCTTTAACAAAATAAAACTATCATTTTTTCCCCATATTTTTACTATTTCTATTTTTTGAAATTTTGTCCCCATAATTTGATCTAATCCAAAATAAATTAACAAATGTTGCATCAAAATCTAAAAAATAAAAATTAGTTTGTCTTTGTGGATGGTGATGTGTTGACAGCAAACGTACTGGTGAGATACACTATGGATGGTTATCGTATCTACCATAGAAGTTCTCATAAATAATCTACAAGTTTCCATAGGTAAATTAGAAGGTCCCATAGATGTTCTAGAACTTCCCATAGCTAATCTACCATACATGTAGAAGTTTCCATCGATAATATAGAAATCCCTGTATATGCTTCACAAGTTCCTATAGCTAAACTAGAAGGTCCCATAGATGTTGTAGAGCTTCTCATAGCTAATCTACCATAGAAGTTTCCATAGATAATATAGAAATCCCTGTATATGCTTCACAAGTTCCCATAGCTAATCTTGAAGCTCCCATGGATAATCTAGAAGTTTTGAAATTATTTTTGAAGGAGTGATATTCTATTGTATATGTATATCCTGCTTTAGGGCTTCAGAAAAGAAAGCTGTTAAGCCATTGCAGCAATTGAACGTGAAAAAACCACCACACTCGCTGCGTAAGACAAAGGTGACCAGATCAGTCAGTGCCAAGAAACAAAAGGAGAATACAACTGATGGAGATAGTCTTGGGTAAGTTGGAGACACTTTAAATGGCCGTATATTTAATCCATGTATACTGATCCAAAATTACCTCTGTATCATAAAATCTGTATTTGAAACCACACCCCTAATAAAAGCTGAACCCATTCAGGGTTTGCACTAGTGTCTCGGCAGGACGAGTCCCACTTACAAAATTCCAAGAAATTGAAATTTGACCCTGGATAACTTTATTAGAGATTGGACCCCAGCTTGCCTGAAAAACAGGGTCCCTCTTCACTCATTGGAGTCCGAGAAGCAAAATATGGGGTTAACGCATTCCCTGCCCATTGTTATTGAAAAATTGAGAACCAAAAAATTCACCATTTCTCATACATACATGTATGTGTACTGCTCTATTAGAAACCACCATCCCCTCTGTTGTATTGTACCAATTTAATAGAAACTGTGGTTTCTAATACAGATTTTACAGTAGTACTAAATGAACCAGATTCCTTTTCATGGTGATTGTGGCATAGACTCAATAGGGAGGCTAAAACCACTCTACCAAGATTAATTCATGAATGTATTTTGAGAAAACCTTAGTACCAATTGTGGCAGATACTTGTGTCTAACCAGTTCTGGTAGATGGAATAGCGCACTAATATCACTATAATGTTGTGAAAATGTCACAGCCCTGTCACAAACAAGAAATATGTTTGTTTTATTTGCCACAAAATGCATGTAAAGTTCAGGAGTTAGAAGAGAAGTTACATTCGTATGGGAATTGTAAGTACAGTCAAACCTGTCTATAAAGGACAGTCAGTGGACTGAGCCAAACTGTTCTCTATGGACAGGTGGTCTTTATATGGAGGTGGCCTAATTTATTCATTCAATCATGAATATTAATTAGGGCGGGAATTTTAAGGGAGATCATAAGCAAAACATAAAAACAAACCTACACATTGTACAATGAATAGGTCTTTTTTAATAAAAGTCACTCATTTTCATCTGGATAATTACACAGCTTTACTTTTTTACTACAAATTATATCATGTAAATTCACTGAAACCAAGTGATTCTGCCCATGGATTCATTGGTGTATTTAATGCATAAGAACGATTGTCAACGATCGGCCGCATTGGCGTTTCAGCTCGGTCTTTCACACTCTCGCCATGCAGTCTTATTCCCTAGTCTCTTACATATATTCCATCACAGGCGGTAATCGGTCCCATCGTTAGTATTGTCGATTGTACACTGTGACAAAATGCAAAGTTGCCATGTTTGAAAAAACAAACAAACAAACAAGCATTAAAAATGAAGAAGCATTGGTAATAAAAAAAATTTACCAAACTCATAACGACTGCCTCAACTGTCGGTGTTGAATCAGAAAGTCAAACGAACCGGAAATGAAACACGATGATCGTACACGCAATTTTACAGTTATTTGTTGCAAGCATCGATGCGTCAAAACTGCCCAAACAAAACAAATTTTCTCAATTGTGAATTATTGATATTACTTTTATTAAAA